CACTATTGATGCAAAGTGCTTGCTGCTGTGACTTCTGTTCCATTTGGGGACTGGTGAAGTGTTGCTGTCACACAGTAACCTGGTGCAAACACAACAAGCCGTAGCTCAGAACATTCAAAATGAATGAACTTGCCTTACTAAGAGTGAACCCCAACAACCTCATTGTCTAAAAACAAAGCACTATGTTTTTAAAAATCTGTTAAATCTGTTGTTATGTTTTTAAAATCATTTATGGGTTGAAAATCCTTTGGCGGGCACCAGGCATAAGGAAAGAGGAGCTTCATCATCATGGTTATAGGAATAAACAGTTACTTAAGGTTTGAGAACAATCATGTTCATTTACAGTCAAAACATAATCAATGCACTAAAAACCTTTCGAACAACAAGTACTTAACTCCTCAAAATTAAACAACAATACATTATTTGTAACGGCCCTTTAGAACAACACATAGAAGCATTTTTTAATGTGATGCTCCTAGACGCAAGACAACATAAATGAACCTTCCAATTCCTTAGACTTACACAGCTTTACTGTCATTTCTGCATATGTATTACCTTACAGTACAGGAGAATGGAATTTTATTTCACTTGGACCTCAGTGCCATATAGAACAATAAACAATAAATAAGTAATGGCCAATAAACAGTCACATGTAGAAAATGGGGGTCTGTGCAGTGTAGTATAAGGTGCTGAGCAATATAAAGTGCAGAGAGCAGCATAATGAAAAGACAAACATGTATGTAAAAGCACACTCTAGAATTCAAAAGATGTATATATATATATGGGGGTAAAATGACGCCAAAATCATTGAAAATATTACAACTTGTAAACACAGAACTCAATCTACAAATAGATTAAAAATCCACTAACAAACTCCTCATGATCAGCAAATATAAAACATGAATTCAGGGGGAGGGTGGAAGTGTTCTAGTGTGTGGAAGTGTTCGTTTTGCAGGAGCTGTGGGGTTCAGACTTACAGCCTGGGGGGTGAAACTGTTTCATAGTCTGGTGGTGGCAGCGCAGATGCTCTGATACATCCTGCCACAGGGTAGAAAGGTGAAGTGGGTGTGGGAAGTTTGTGTTTCACAATGCTGATGCTGATTTTCTTGACCCATTCATCCATCCAGACTTCCTCCCTGTGTGGACTCTGTAGCTCTATTATAAAATCACCTGACTTCCTCTTTTGCTCCCGTCATAATTCCTACAGTGGGCTGTTTCACTTCAACGTTAACAGATGTTGTTTGTTTTGGGGCGTCTTTTCTTGACTCCACACATTCATCACCGGCGACACCTTCACTGACTCCTTCAGATTTCAGGCGCGCACATTAGCAACACACTCAAAAGGAAAATGAACACAGACAACAGAATTAACAAACGCCAAATTAAGACAAATGTTTGTACACTAGCACAGAAACTCAGGATGAGACAGTTCTTCCTTCTTTGTTCCTACACTGCAACAACACTTCAAGTTGACTTGAGTCAAATATGCACACATGTAACTAGCATAACCTGATGGATTAAGCATTATAACAGGTGCATGTAACAGTTAGGATTTCTGAGATATTTTTTTGAGTGACTGTCAAGCCTAAGCTTAACCTGGAGCTCATTCCAAGACCAGGGGCCGTAATGAAACAGACTCCTCTTCCTCATGCCGGCTTCTGTCCGCACATTAGATACCTTACATTGCAGTCTGGTAATAGATCTTAAATTATATATACTTTATGTGGGTATAAACTTTGAACTTATATATGTAGGTAACTCTCCAAGAATGGCCTTATCAATGAATATATTCCAGTGTTGCATGCTACGTCAAGGGATGTCCAGTTTACCGAGTTATATAAGGAACAATGATGTGTCTTCTAGCTTGCATTTGTAATAAATCTGACCGGTATGATGAAGAGGCTCAAGCTTAGACAAAGTTCATGGACAAGCAAAGTGATAAATGAGGTCACCACGATCTAGCTGAGGCAGGAATAAGCCTGCAACCAGCCGTTTACGTGACGACATGACTTTAACTTGTATGAAAAGGACAATGTAAATTTAAGTTTCCTAGCAAGAGCGTCAATATGCTTTTTAAAGTTAAAACTTTAGTCCAACCAGCTTCCAAGTTGTTTATAAGTATCAACAAACTCAATAGCTACAAGTCTGAGGGTGTCTATAGAGAGAGCTGGAACGTTGACACTGCTAGGAGCAAATATCATTGCTGTAGTCTGATGTGGAAAACTCACAGCTCATTTCAGACATGTTGACTGCTGCCTTTATGTCTACTGCATCGTCATCGTTTATGCAAAGCGCTCGTTGCTGTGACTTCTGTTTGATTTGGGGATTTCGATCCATCAATCCTGTCTGTAAGTGAGCGACTCAGTTAAGTGAACTTGTACAAAAACCTAAGTCATTTCATTCAGTCACAATAGTTCCATGTCAGTTTTGCTTTCCAGTACCACTCATTTTTATAGCAGTAAAATAACACATTTCAGTTTCAGGGCCATTTCTTCACACCCTGGTGATCACAGCCTCTGCTGAAATGTTAGCAGCCACATTCAGACCACTTTTAGAAACTGTAGCACTGATGTTACTTCTCACTGACCGTGGATGGTGCCGTGGAAGCGAGCGCTGACATTTCCACGATTTTATGGATGAATGAACAGAACCTTGATCTTGACACACAAGTAATGAGTGTGCAGGCTGGAGTGGAAGCTGATATTTATTGTGGTTAGCCCTGTTTTCATCAAAGCAAATACTTGAGAGTCATCCGAGATAAATGCTTAAAGAGACAAGGATTTCATCCGACAAGAGAAAGAAACACACAGGTCTGCAAATAATTTGACTTGAAATGGACAAACTCTAATTAGATGGAGATGATCTCTCCAAACAAAAATGAAAACAGGTCAAGAAAACAGATCACGGTTCGCAGAGTTTCCAAAGTGTGCCACGCTGCTATGAGTTGGAGTAACAGATTACGATATGATAGTGAGGTAAAAAGTAATGTATCTATAGAGTACTGTACCAGGAATGTGATGATGCACGCGTGTGATTGGTCACCACTGTTTGCCAGATTAACCCGCGCTTGTTTGCCGTGGCTTCTGCGCCGTGTTGCCTGACTGGCTCCATGCGTTTTTACATGCAGGGCTAACGTTGGTCTGAACGTCACCTCAGGTTGTGACAGTTGTGGTGTATGGATGTTCTAAGGTCTTGTACATACACATATACACATGAATACACATGGACACAAGGATCATTGCTTTTTTTCCCCGACCTCTGGATTTCTGGAGCAAACACAAGCAGACAAGTTAATAACAAACCTCCAGGTTAGATGAATTAAACATTCATCACAGTTTACAGATGACTTCCTTCTTCAACTTTGACCCTCCATGCTTACTGTGGTTGTGGTTACACAGTTTTACTGTGCACTGAGGGATTAATACTGACATTTCAGGTGCTCACTTTCAGTTTGACTTGCACAAGTGGTTTAGTTAATCAGAACCAGCTTTATTGGCCAAGTGTGTATACACAAGGAACAGCCACAGGGCCACAGGGTTATTGCACAGCGATTGTTTTCTGACGCTACAATCATGACTGATATAAGCTTTAATCAGAGTGATGGCCTGTGGAAAGAAACTGTTCTTATCTGGTTGTTTTGGCGTACAATGCTCTGTAGCACCACCCAGAGGGGAGAAGTTGGAGCCAGTTGTGTCCAGGGTGTGATGGATCTGCAGTGATCTTTTTTGCCTGTATCCTGACTCTGGACATGTAAAAGTCCTGAATGGAGGGCTGGTTGGCACCAGTTATTTAGTCTGTTCAATTTGTGCATAAAACATGGATTGGAAATACAGAGAATTAAAAAAGAAGCAGAAATATTTTTAAAAGGTTTTGTGTTTGGCTGAGGTGGAAAAGTTGGTGTATTGATTAAAAACAAGTGCAATGGGAAAATGCTTAGTGAATAAATGATGACGTACTGTAGCTGACAGTGAAGAGCTGTAAACATCAGATCTGTGAGGCGCGACGAGGAGGCTGAAACCTTCCTCACATTATTACATGAAATTCATGAAAATGTTTTCCAACATATTTTCTTCTTTGAAGGTTTGATGTCAGGCCCTGGAGAATTAGCTCCACCAACTAATTCCTAATATTCACATAAGACTACTAGATGGAAATTTACATTATTTTGCATTTAGTTTTGCTGATTTTCTGGAAATTATGTTAAAAATGGCGCTATATTTGGATGGAAACTTGACTATTGTGTTTCCAAATGTCAGCTGTACAGTTGATGAATACAATGTTATTATTACTGATAGAAACTATGGTCATAAATACAAAATTAAGGCCATAAGTGGATTTTTCGTTTCAGCTAAACCCAACTCTGACCCTAAACCAAGTCTGAGCGGCAGAGAAAATGACCTCAATTTTCAAGGTGTCTGTGGACTGCATTTTGTATAGAGCTTTTACCAAAAGTGCTTTACAATTTGCTTTTCTTTCACACACACACACACACACTCTCACACACTGCGAGCTACGAGAACATGTGGACAGGAGGAGCCCCGGACAAAACTGCCAACCCTGCGATTAGTGGATCTGCTCTGCCGCCCGGGTGTAAAACTCAAACTGGTCCTCACAAAGACAGTACAAGAGCACGCACAGAAACACCTGCACACAGCTAACAGTGCACCATCCCCTCCTGTTCTGCTTAATTAAGAATGAAATATTGTACTGTGAACATCGTCCTTGTGTGAGCTGATTCTCTTTCTGCACATCTCTGTCCTGCTCTCATTTCACTAGTTGTTTCCTCACATGAACTGTACGATGAAGATGAAGTGAACTCACAGCATCTTTAATCTGCAACACACACACACAAAGAAATACTCAAGACCACACATGCATGCAACACACGCACACAGTTGCCTTGTATCCTACGAGAACCACATGTGTGTTCAGTTACAACATCTCCTCAAATGTGTGTGTGTGTGTGTGTGTGTGTGTGTGTGTGTGTGTGTGGTACTCACATCTGTCTCGGTGGCAGTCGCTCCTGAAATGGGTCATAACAAGAGAAGACGAAGAGGAGAGTGATAAAAACCTGAGGACTCAGAGTGTGTGAGTGTCTGACTGATGCTTCCCTCACTTAAAAGGGAGGGGGGGGGGGGGCGGGGGTGACTGCTGAGTATGGCAGTGGGTCGTACCATCTAACACTCCACCGAGAGGGGTGGAGGGGGGTGACTGGTTCACTTATCTGGTGAAGAGGGAGGAGAGGAAGGGTGAGTGAGTGTGAGAGGGAGAGATGTGACTGGCAGAGTGTAAAGCAGGTAAAGTGGAATCAGTGGAATAAAAATACAGAAGATACAGCCATCTCAGTCTTCCAGGTAACAAGGAACTATTTATGAGAAGTGTTTCTCAGTTTATCCTGTGCATTCAGGTCGAATAACAGTAAGGTAATCCTCAGAATTTGTCCTATGGAGATACCACGCCCCCTGGTGGATGAAAACATGGGTGGTACATGGTACACGCCTGCTGCAGCACACTGCTCTGTAAATCAGAACTAAAGGGAAGAAATGTATATTTCATATTTTTTGGTTTCATGCTGGCAATTCCTTTATTCTTGGCAATAGCTCCTCAATGTACGTACATGGAGACCTTGTGTTCATACAGCCAATCTTACACAACACACAAACCTCATTTTGACAAGTTAAACTGTTTACAGAGACAGAAGAAGTCATTAGAAGTTGCAACTTTCTCATGCTGTGCACCATTAACATGGAACTCCTTGCAAAGGACCCTCCATCTGGAGGTACTGGTACCTCTTGGGAAGTTCATCATCATTGGTTTTTAAAGATTAATGTAGCTGTTTTTAAATAAGCAGGCATTACATTCATGCATTTTAACTGCTCATTGAAGTTTTAATGTACTGCTTTTATAGTGGGTTGCTACGGTTCTTTTGTGTATAGGTAAAAGGGAAAATGTTATTGATTGTATTGTTGTTTTATGTTTGTGTCCCTTTCTTAATTGGCCAGGGTGCACTTGAAAAAGAGATTTTATCTCAATGGATCTTTTCTCCTGGTTAAATAAAATGAAAAATATTTAGTTGAATTTAGGGAAAACACTTGAAGCCTTTGTTGTGTTGAGCTTTTTTAAATTGCTTACTTTGCTCACTGCAAACAGCTGAAAGTCTGGAAAGTGTGACAATAAACCTGATTTGTACTGGGGGTTGAATAATTTAGATTGCAACTGTAAAACACGTGTCACATTTCTAACCCTTGCATGAGAGAGAAGATAAACTGATCTGCAAGTTTGCAACATTTGTGAAACGTGAGACTTCCACCATTTGCTAATGTAAATTGGTTTAGTGAAGCCGCCCTGTGAATGAACTAAATCCAACACTGTATATGTGTGTGTGTGTGTGTGTGTGTGTCAAAACAATGCAGACTAGTAAAAATAGATTTCACCTGGTTTGTGAAGTACTGAAGTTAACACAGTTGTGAAGAGATAATACAGTAGAAGTTTAGCTGCTTTTACAGCTGCGCCACAGAATCTGCTCATCTACTCTGCTGTTCTCATCTTCCAGGGACTGAATGACACACCTGCTGCAACATCGGCAGCCTGCACTCCACTTCAGTTCAGAGATAAATATCTTTAAAACTGGAGAAGTAAAACCAAAACTCTCTGCATGGACAGTCACAAGAGGTAAATGAGAAACAATTTTTGGAGGGGGATTTGAGTGAACTGACCCTTTAAATAAACAATCTTTTAGGTTAATATTTTTAAATAGAAGTTAAATCACGATTTAATTCAGAGTCGGTTCAGTTTAAGACTTCTTCACAGCGGCCTTTTTTTAGACAACAGTGAGAAAATAAATGTGATGTTTGCCTCCAGAATTCAGGAAGCTTTGATTGGCTGTTTATAAATTGACCTGAGTCAGAGGGAGGGGAGACTCAATTAAATGATTTCATTTTAATTAAAGCTGTCCTATCTAATTAAGATATGATGAGGAGGAGAGCCGGGGCGTCTCATGGGCTTCTTAATTTATCTTGGCGATAACCTCCGTCAGCAGCTGGCTAACAGCCTCCCAGCATGCATTTCAATGAGGGTTTATGCATCAGACCACAGGGTCAGTGCAGGTCTGAATAAAGCTTTAAGATATTTATATTACAGTATTTCAGCATTTGCATGGATTTTATTATTTAATCTACAATGACCACACAACATAAATACATATTTGACATCTTTGACATATTCCTAAAATGCGTTCTTAATTTCATGCCTATGTTCTCTGTTGTTTTGTAGTTCGTTTGATTTCGAATGTTTACACTGTATTACAGTATAATCTACTTAATATACTGTTTGACAGGATTTTTTTTTCTTTACTGGTTGTTAACAGGAAACGATACAAGAAACATGTCAATCAAACTGACATCATGTTCTTAAACACACCGTGAACTTAAAGGTTCAGTGTGTAAGATTTAGTGGCATCTAGTGGTGAGGGTTGTGAATTGCAACCATCTGTCCAGTCTACCACTGCCCCCTAACCTTTCAAAGAGCGCAAGACAGCTACGGTGGCTGACACAGCACAAAAGGTGTCTCTTCTGAGACAGCAGAGAGTGGCCAGTCAGGAAATGAGGTTTCTTCAGGTGTATTTATTAAGAAATTATATTAACTGAATTATTCAGTAAAACCACATGTTATTGTGACCTGGCCACTGACGTACAACATGGAAAATGTGACCCAAGAGTGTGAAACACTGTCTCTGTTTCTGCACCCCAGTCCATTATAAACCACACATTAGATAAAGTTTAGAAAAACATTAACAAGGGAAACCCGTTCATTTTCTCTGTGATTATGGACCCTCGCCAAAACTGCCCGCCAACAATAATATCTGGCCCGCTGCCAGATTATGGTGCTGAAATAGATCTCATTCATGGCAGTAACAGTTACTCACATAATCACTTTAATGGTTTAGCCTACAAAATAAAAGCGCGAGAAGCTTGTTTACTGTAATTCAGTATTTGGAGTTGAACTGAGCTTTTACTTTGAAAAATTCTGAACGACATTAAGTCTGTAGCTGCTTGACACACATCTGAAAGAGCCGTCAGAAGACGTGATTCCCCTAAATGTCCTCTGCCTGGAGACACTGAGGAAATGAAAAATCGTCTGTAGGTTGATGGATGCGAATCAAACACCGAAACAAAAACAGTGCAGCACGTGCCGTGATCTGAGAAACACTCGCTGCAGAATCCATTTGTTGATGAGAGGAAAAAAAGGTCTCGTGTAGTGAGTCCTGCACCTTACCAACTGAGCTAATCAAACAACATGTTGACGTGAGTCAATATTACGTCTTATTCAATTCAATTTTATTTATATAGCGCCAAATCACAACAACAGTTATCTCACAGCGCTTTTCATAAAAGAGCAGACCGTAGACCGTACTCTATGATGCTATTTACAGAAGCCCAGCAGTTCCCACCAAGAGCAGCACTAGGAGACAGAGGCAAGGAAAAGGAAAGAGGAACAGAGAGAAAGAGAGAGAGGGGAGGGAGGCAGCCTACACAATATCCACAGAGAGGTACAGAAAAGGTGATGTTGCTATAGAATAAATGAAAAATGGTACAGATATTTATAGTAGTGTTAATGATAACAGTCGTAATGTTAATGATTATAATAACAATAGGACTAGTAACAATAGTCGTTGCAGCAGAGGGTGTCGAGCAGGAACACGGGGGCAGCAGGTGACCCGCAACCACAGATCCAGACTCCACAGCTCCAGAGCCAGAAAACCTGCAGGAAGTGATAGGAGGAGAGAGGAGAGAGACGAGAAAGCACAAGACTACCAGAAAGGGGAGAAGTTGTGTTAGTAACATGCAATAATGGGATGAGGTTGCGTACAGAGGGAGAGAAAGTAGAGGAGAGAGGAGCTCAGTGCATCATGGGAAATCCCCCGGCAGTCTAGGCCTATAGCAGCATAACTAAGGGATGGTTCAGGACTCACCTGAGCCAGCCCTAACTATAAGCTTTATCAAAGAGGAAAGTCTTAAGCCTACTCTTAAATGTGGAGATGGTGTCTGCCTCCTGAACCCAAACTGGAACCTGGTTCCACAGGAGAGGAGCTTGATAGCTGAACGCTCTGGCTCCTAGTCTACTTTTGGAGACTCTAGGAACCACAAGTAACCCTGCATTCTGGGAGCGCAGTGCTCTGGTGGGGTAGTAAGGTACTATGAGCTCTTTAAGATAAGATGGTGCCTGACCATTAAGAGCTTTGTAGGTAAGAAGAATGATTTTAAATTCTATTCTGGATTTTACTAGAAGCCAATGCAAAGAAGCTAAAACAGGAGAAATATGATCTCTTTTCCTGGTTCCTGTCAGAACACGTGCTGCAGCAATCTGGATCAGCTGAAGAGTCTTAATGGACTTTTTCGAGCAGCCTGATAATAAGGAATTGCAGTAATCCAGCCTAGAAGTAACAAATGCATGGACTAGTTTTTCTGCATCATTTTTAGACAGGATGTTCCTGATTTTCACAATATTACGTAGGTGAAAAAAGGCGGTCCTTGAAATTTGCTTAATGTGAGACTTAAACGACATGTCCTGATCAAAGATAACTCCAAGATTCCTCACAGTGGTGCTGGAGGCCAGGGCGATGCCATCAAGGGAAACTATATCTTTAGATAATGCGTCATGGAGGTGCTTAGGCCCCAGAACAATAACTTCAGTTTTATCTGAGTTTAACATTACAAAATTACAGGTCATCTAGGTTTTAACATCCTGAAGGCACATTTTAAGTTTAGCTAACTGATGAGTTTCATCTGGCTTGATCAATAGATATAACTGAGTATCATCTGCATAACAATGAAAGCTTATCAATATTCTTATATTCTGCTCCACCATCTAATGGTTGAAAATATTGCTCCAATGCAAAACTTATTTGCAGACCCCTGCAGTATATTATTACTACTTCTTCTTCTTCTAACATACGTATAGTGATGAGTGTCTGCACTGCTTGAATTCTACCAGAAGTAGAACAAGAACAACTTAGTGAGGAAACGCGTTCTGTAGCACTGTTTGTCCGTTTTCAGCTACTGTAGAAACATGACGATGCAACGTGGCGACGTCGTGGAAGCGGGTGCCCACAGTTAT